TCCACATGCACGTGTACATATACAAATCCGACGCCCCTGCCAACGTGCGGAAGACGCTGTTCTATTAAAATCGACGTCGCGGTCGTCGTCGTAGTCGTCGCCGTCGTCTCGTCGTCGTCGTCCTTATCGTCATCGCCGTCGCGTTTGACCCCTCTTTCCCTGGGCCCGCCGCCGCTTCCCCCCCTTTAGCCGGGCCCTCTTCCTCAAGCGGGCCAGCAAAAGCGACACCAAAACGAAATTGAGCGAAGTCGTAGTTGAGTCGACGGGAATCCCCTTCCCTTTCGAGAACGGGCTCTTCTGGGTCCCCTCGGGGGGGGGGCGATTCAAAACAAGAAACCCACAGAAAACAAAGATGCGACGACACCAGTTGTGGAGTCTTCATGAGGGAAGCGCTTGCTTCTGAAGAAAACGCATCAACATGTTCTCCAGACGAAGGCCTTTGTACTTCAGCCACACATGGAATCCGTCTGTAACCACCAGTAGAAAAGAAACTAGTTGCAAATCCGCAACACAAAGAATCAATTTGTGGGGCTGCACTTACATTAATTTTAATGCAATCGCTTTGATGGACCAGGAGGCCATAAGTCGGCAGGATGCTTCAATTAAAAAAAACCTACATGTTCTAAACAAGCGTGTTAAATCGAAGAACAAGGCATCGCCTGAGACCCCCTCCGAATTGTTTAAATCCATAGGGCTTCGCTGGTGTGAAGTTCCGAGGGGGCGTCAAGCGAAGAATTGCTGATCTACATAAAGCCAATAACAAATCTAACAAAGCAATGTAAAGCCAGGTTTCGCCTGGGAGTCCCTTAGAATTACACCAGCGAAGCCTTATGGAGGGGATCGCATGTGAGACCTTGTGCGTCGAGTTTTAACTCCCCGTCACACGGAATCAATGTGTAATCACGCCACAAGTTGAAGCAATGTGTGGGGCTGTAGTGACATTTCTTTTACTGAAATCGTATTTCGGGGCCAGGAGACCAGACGTCGGCACGCTTTGCATGTTTGATTTATTTCCGAATTTCTTGAATGGTCTAAATCGACGCACAAGGTTTCGCCTGCGGCCCCATCCAAATTATAAAAAAAAACATGGCGATTCTTTCGCGTGACATCCTGAGGGAGTGTCAAGCAAAACCTTATTTTTCCGAAATGAACTCCATAAGCAATCAATGACAGCTAAGGTGCCGCCTGGGATTTCTTTGGAACTTCACACCAGCGACGCCTGATATACTTGAAAAACTTGGGAGGGTGTCTAAACTTTGTTTCAATCTACAGCATCATACATAGTTCTAAAAATGGCTCCAGGCCTCCTGGTCGTTCAATACTATTATGTTCAAAAGTACTTGAACTACCACCCCACAAACGTGTTCCTCTCGTGGCGGAATTACAAATTGAATATTTGTGTGGCGAAGTAACACATTGACACATTGAATTCTTTAGTGGCGGATTTATGGTTTGATTCCTGTTGTGGCGAAATTGCACATTGATTATTTTTTTGTGGCGGAGTTACACATTGACTCCTTTTGGTGCGGATGCGCAAATCTATTCCGTTTTGGCAAAATCAAAAATGGATTCCTTTCGCAGCGGATGTGGGACTTACGTCCTTTTGCGGCGAGTATGCAAATCAGTTGTTTGTGTCGGCTTGATACATTACTTGAGCAGATACATCACATTCAAAAGATTGAATCTGCCATCCAAGAGTTCAATTGGTAAAAGCGCCACAAAGGAATTCATGTGTGATTCAACGATTCAAAAGACTCAAATTGCACTCCCCACAAAAGGGCCCAAAGTTTAAACCGTAACAAAAGAACTGATTTTGTGAATGCGTCACAAAAAGAAATCAAAATGTAGATACGCAACAGAAAGACTTGTATATGTTGCGGCCTGCAGCCTGCAGCCCATCCCGCCGCCGTGCCTGAGTAGTGGGTCAGAGTCTCAAGGGGTGTGAAGGGAATCGCGCTTGGGTATGTGGGGCCTCAGCTGAGGAATTCCCATTCTTGACGCTGGCCTCGCGAAAGCGCGTGGAAATTGCACGTCGCGGAATGCGATGCACGAAATTCGGTGGCCTGGCCGGGCTCTTTCTGCAGTTGTGAGTATCCCGTGCCGACGCTCACACGGACGCAAATGTGGTGAGGGAGTGTCCTCTAGGCTGTCCTCCTTCCTCTCCAATGGCGCTGAATCCTCCAGGGCTCGTGCCACTAGCGCTGAACCCTTCGGGGATCGTGCTACGTCTACAGGGAGCGCTGAACCCTTCGGGACTCATGCCCGCATGCGCCCAGCGCAGAACCATACGGAAGTCGTGCTGAGAGATTTGTTCATATCAAAGTTCCCAATGGTTTGAAACACGAGGTTTTTGTGTTATGAATTGTGATTATGGTGTCCGGAGCCTGGGTCAAAGCCACGGCGCTGAACCCTTCTTGGCTCGTGCCAGTAGCGCTGAGCCCTCCAGGGCTCGTGCTACTCAGGCTTTGGGCGCTGAACCCTTCGGGGCTCGTGCTCGCAGTCACCTGGCGCTACACCCTCCAGGGCTCGTGCCAATAGCGCTGAACCCTCCGGGGCTCGGGCATCGGCAGCGACAGCGAGGCTGTCCGGGTCCAGGGGATGAGAGCGCGGGAAGGGGGAGAGAGGAGGAGTCCCCGACACAGAGCTGGGGGAATCATGCCATACGGTCAGGGTTCTGACCGCGTCACTGTCAGTTGAGTGAAGGGCGTCTGCCCAGAACACTCTTATGGTGGCTAACTAGTCTGTCGCTGGCCACGTTTAGGCGGCGCCGGACCGCTTGCCATGCTAGGGTTCAATCTCTTTTGGTGAGGGGTCGAAGTCCCATGACTATTTGCATGGCCAGCGGGAGTCGCCGATACTTACTGGTACCAGTACAATACTGTATGACAGCTAAGTTGTCCCCGGCAATGCGGGCCGCCTGGACCTGGGGGTTGAGCGCCAACGCACTCAGTCCGGCTCGGCACCCCGCCGCTTCTGCCAGCTGCGCGTTGGCGATGCCAGGGAGGGCAACAGTGCAGGAGGCGAAGCGGGTGGGCGGTGTCCCGTCGTCGTTGGGCCGCCAAAACGTGGCGCCGGCACCTGCGACCATTGGTCGACCGCGAATGGATCTGGCCCCGCCGTCAAACGTGACCTCAATGGGCCACTGGGCACGGTCTTGATCGGGAAAACGGGACCTTGAAACGGCGACCTCGGTGCGAGCTTCAATGGCTATGGTGGAGCGCAGGGTCTGACAGTGTTGTCTACAGGTCCGGCAGAATTGGTATTCCCATCTGGCGTCAGGGACGCTGGTGGTCCTGGGGACGGGTATCCATCCTCTGCCAGCGAGGAAACACCCTCCGGTTGCCGATTCACACCGCAGGTGGAGCAGCGTGGTTTCAGCCGGCACGTGGGTGTTGGATATGGGGAGCCTGCGTATTTCACCTCCATCGCGCTGTTCGGGTCTGGTGGGGCTGCGCCGATCCCACCAGAAGGTTGGCGATGGGGTAAGGCGCGCAGCTGGTGCAGGGGTCATCGTTGCGGGTCCACGCATCGACGGAGCTGTGGCTGTGGGCGGTGAGGGTATCGTCGAGAGGGTCATCGTCAGTGATGTCCCCAGCCCTGTCTCCATGTCGACAGACATGGATTTACATGTTGACTTGCCCTTCGATTTGCGCGTCGACCCTCATTGATATTTGATGTGAGCTGAGAGTTGCACTTCGATGTGCATCCCGGCTAGCACGTCGATGTACGTATCATTTGGATTGTCATGCCGATTTACATTTCCCACAAAACTACCCTCCAGAAAATCGCGGGACAACCCGCGGGCCAACCACGGGACAACCCACGGGACAACCCACGGGACAACCACGGCACAACCCAAGAGAGAGACCAGAGGATCGAGAATGTTGCCAGAGTTGACCCCAGCTCAAGCTTGGCCGACACATCGTCGCCATCGCCGCAGCTTCGCCGCGCCCCCACAACTCGAAACCGAGCTCCTGGCTTGGGGCCACGTCGTTCTCACCACCACCCCGCCTCCGATATCACAGCAGACTGGGTCGAGAGATCCTTTCGTTACCTTTTTCACGACGCCGATGTCGAAGACAGTGCGCCTCGAGAGGCCAGCGAAGAGACGTTCTGGCGCCCCTAGCCGACCCGCGGGTCCGCAGGGGGCGCTGGCCACACCACGACCAGCGATGTTCGCGCAACGGGGCACAGAGCGCAAGACGCGCATGGCAGATGTGAAATCGGTGCTACACAGCGGCTTGAAAAACATGGAGGCCCACTTCGGGCCCCGAGCAGTCAAAAACAACCCGCAACGAAAAGCTAGTCCGGGGCATGAGGTCGTTTGTTGCACGGCCGACGTAACAAATCGTCGTGACCTGGGAGGTCTAGGGCTTACTGTCCATATTGAACACACGAAAACACCGGCATCGATGCACTGCGAGTGATAGTTGGCACGATACTGGCGGAACCAGGTGTTGTATCCGCCACTCGGCGTGAGTCGGGCCCTTCATTCCTGGGGAAACGACAGCCAAGGCCAAACGCACATTAGAAAAGGCAAGCAAAAAGGCGGTATGCTTGACGATTGCTCACCTTGCAGCGCCGAGGGGGCGACACCCTCGCAGACCTCCGCCCGCCAGGCGAAAGGCCCCCATGCGTCGCATGACACAACATGCTCGTGATCGCGCCCAAACCTCCAACGAATCCCTCCTCCTGATCCTCCTCACTTTTTCCAATACATCCCTCCTCATCCTCCTCAAAAACCATCCTCCCCCGAATCTCTGCGCCCCATGATTTTCCTCATTCCTCATCCCTCCTCCCTCATCCATTATCCTTCATCCCTCGTCTCTGTCGCCTCCCCCTGTCCTCCGTCATCTCTCATCTCTCCCTCCAATATCCTCCCCAATTCCTTCCTCCCCATCCCTCCTCCTTCCTCTCATCCATGGAAAGAACAGCTATGAGAGGGCACGAGGCGGGGACGGGAAGAGGGAACCTCAGTACTGTTGCTGTCCCCGGGGGTCCTCGCAATCTTGAATTCGGCGCGCTCGCCAACGTCGAGTAACTTGGCCACCTCAGTCCTCGGGCAGTCCAGCTCGGAAGAGTTGACGCACGCAGCGGCAGCGGAGGGCGGACGACAAAAGAAAGGGAGGGCAGAAAAGAGCGACGGCGAATGACGGACGACGAACGGCCGAGGGCGAGAAAACAGAAGGCGGAGGACGAAGGACGGTCGATAGAAGAACGAAAGGGGAGAATGAGAAAAAAGAGATGCGCCGCTATACAGGATGTCCAAACTTGGCTGTGACATTGGAGATCCAAGCGTGATTTTGGGGTCGGAGACCGAACGAGTGGCCACAAACACGGCCATCAAAAAATTGAATACAGGCAACGTTGACATTCACATGGCAATTAGTCGAATCATGGATGGTGACAATACAAGAACCACCGCGTTGTTGCGCGAGCTACGCGGGATGCGCGCGCGCTGGACGACTAACCATCAATAGAAGGACGAAGAGCGAGGCCCCAGGCTCGGAGAGGAAAAGGGGTGGGAAGAAAGGGCAGGAAAAGAAAGGTAGGAAGGCCTACAAGTCAACGCGGCAACAGCGGGTAAACGGCGAAGGAGAAAAATGACTACAGCGAAAGCGGAAGAATGAGAAAGGAGGATGGCGATGTTTTCCGGTAGCTCGCCGATGAGCAGCCACGCCGCCGCCATAACGCTCTGGCGCCCTGAATGACGATACGTTCATAACTACTAGCGTTTCCCACCTTTATGTTTTAATCCAGACGAAGCACGGATACCCTGGGAGCCGATGCGCGCGACGGGGTGCAATGTAGATGATCGTCCTTGCGACCGCGAGGAGTGCCTCTTACCATCGCCGACGTAATCGCAGCCACGGCGGCGCCGTCCGTGGCCATTTTGTTTCAATCCTGGCTTCCACATTCCGATACCGAATGTTAGCCAAAAACAGAAAGCGGAGCGCCTTGTCAGGGCTCCGCAATCTGGCGCGCGAGGCGGGCGCGCCGGCGAGACGTCGCAAAGTCGACCTCGCAAGCGCGGCTTTCGATGCTTCTGGCGCCCAGGCGGTCGCTGCCTGCCCCGCGCAAGACCGGCGACGACGAGCCGAGCCGATTCCCGCCACTGCCCGGAGCCCAGCGCGCCTGACTCGGCGCAGGCACCGTAGACGCGCCACATAGTAGGGGGCAGGCGTCACCCCGCCATGGCGGCGCCATCACGCGCGCCGCGGGCGCTGTCGTTTCATCAACGCAAGCGCCGCGCATGACTGGGCGCAGACACCGCGGGGACGTCAAATGATTCTGCGCGCGCATCGCGTCGCCATCGGGTCGCCAGAAAAGGCGCCAAAGGGACAGTCAATTTATCTGCTCGCGCGCTGCGCGCGGCCAGGCGCGGACGCCGCGGGCACGTCAAATGATACGGCCTGGGCGCATTCTCGCCGTCGCGCCGTTAGCGCAGGCGCCGCGGAAATGGTTTAACCGGCGCAAGCACCGCCCATGGCACACCTCGGGCACCTCCAGCATGCCCAATACAAAAATACAATCCTCGCCCTGTCATTGCAGGCAACGGCGCAGGCACGCCGCGCCGTGATTTTCATCGGCGCAGTCACGCCACCCAGTTTGAGGCTGCAATCTGACACAAACTCGGGGGGATGGGGAGAGCGCGGGGGAGCTACCACAGCGGGACCGATCTCACACATATGGCCCCCCCAAGGATGGCGAGGGCGACAGTTTCGTGCCCAAGCAGTCTTCGAAAGCGGCAACAGCTTCGCGAACCCAGGGGACGGCGAAAACTAACCTGACTCAGCGGCGGGGCGCCATTCCGCCGAGTTGCAATCGGAAATGGCGACAATTTCGCAGCAAACCCCCCAGGGTGGCAAGGTCAAATATGAATCCCTGGCGGGACGTCACTCCGCTGGATCCCGCGGCGGGCCTCGAAAGCAGCGACAATCCCCCTGTTTGCAACCCCCCAGGAATGGCGAGGCCGAACCTAAATCTGCGGCGGCGCGTCATTGCGCTGGACCCCCAAGCAGCCCTCGAAAGCGATGGCACTTGCGCAGTTCGCACCTCCCGGACAGGAGACGGGCGGGACGGCAAGGCAGGGGAGGCGAGAAGGAGGAGGAGGCGGGAAGGGTTGGATGCCGCAGCGCCCAATCCACAGCGAGAATCCAACGCCGGAACAACGGGGGGCAGACCTCGGCACCAAAAGGCAAATCTCGAACAGTGAAACAACAAACGACAAACATTGAGACAGCACGGCTTCGTCTCGCCGCGCGCCACACTGCGCCTTACTGCCATTCTTCCTCAACGGCAGAGAAGGGCGCCCCAGCGCGGCCCTCGCGTTGCCGGGCGGTCGCGGCGCCGCGCCGCGAACAATCCGCCTCGCCCACGCGCCGAAATATTTACAGGGGCCGGGGGGGGCCTGGGCGAAGCACGCGCCGCGCTGGAGGCTCGCGCGCCCAACCCCCGGCCGGGCGCCCATCATCGCCGTGAGAAACGCGAGCGCCGCGCGCGTCGAGTCGCCGAGGCGACAAGGAGCAACGGACCATCGACGCGCGTGCTCCCGGGCATCCAGGGCCACCGGGCCGAAAGGCATCCAGAATCCAGAACGGCGCGCCGGCGCCCTCCATCCATCGGACCGACGGGTGCAATTTTGCTGGCGGCGCTGGCGGAAAAACACCGCGGGCGGCCAGCGGGCGCGGGGCGCGCGGCGTGCGCGTGCCGCGCCAAGGCAAGGGGGGGGGGGCGCAGAAAGAGACAGAGAGAGAGGGGGGAATACAAAGACATGGGAGACAAAGACAGAGACAGATAAGAGACAGAGACAGAAGGGACAGAGACGGAGACAGAGAGGGGAAACTAACACAGACGAAATATATACACAATAAAAATATACACACACTTACATACAAGCATACATTCCCAAACATACGAGAGAGCGTGATCCACCGCCGCTTTACTGTGGAAAATTGCCAACCTTTTCCTCCGGAGCCCGGGGGTCGCCCCCCCCCCCCCCTCCGAAAATCCCCCCCCCCCTGCTGGAAACCCTCCCCCCCCCCCCCCCCCTTCCCCCGGCAAAACCCCCCCCTCCCCTAACCCCTCCCCCCCCCCCCCCCTCCCGCTCGAGAACCGGGGGGGGTCACTACCGGTTCGAACCCCTCCCCCCCCCCCCCCCTCCGGATCCGGAAAACCGGGGGGGGTCACTACCGGTTCGAACCCCCCCCCCCCCCCCTACTCACCGCCAGCAAACGACTCCCGGTCCCCACCACCGTCCGCATCACATCCCCCACTGGTGTTCCCAGCACCACTGTCCTCACCACCGCTGTCCCCACTGGTTCCACCACCGCCCCTACTGTCCCCACCAGTGGCCCCACCACTGTCGCACTGTCCCCGCTGTCCCCAGAACTGTTCCCACCACGGTTCCACTCTCCCCACTGTCTCCACGGCCCCAACCACTGCCCGACTATCCCTACTGTCCCCACTGTCCCACTGACTCCTCCGCTGTCCCACTGAGCTGTCCCACTGTTCCCACCACTGTCCCCACTGTCCCCACCACTGTCCCCACTGTACCTCTGTCCCATTGTCCCACCGCCGTCCTCGCCACCGCCTTCACCACTGTCCCCACCACCATTGTACCCTCCACTGTCCCACTGTTTCCACCTCATTCCCATTGTCCCCACACCACTGTCCCCACCACCACCGTCACCACCACTGTCCACTGTCCCCCTCTGTTCCCACCATTGTCCCCACCACTGTCCCCACCACTACCGTCCCCACCACTGTCCCACTGTCCCACTGTCCCCACCACTGTCCCGCTATCCCCTCACCACTGTCCCCACCAACACCGTCCCCACTACTGTCCGCACCCCCACTCGGTTTTCCAGGGGGGGGGGGTCGAACCGGTAGTGACCCCCCCGGTTTTCCGGATCCGGAGGGGGAGGGGGGGGGGGGGGGGGGGTTCGAACCGGTAGTGACCCCCCCCCCTTTTCATGATGAGCTGGGGGGGGGGGGAGGGGTTCGAACCGGTAGTGACCCCCCCCGGTTTTCCGGAGGGGGGGGGGGGGGGGGAGGGGTTCGAACCGGTAGTGACCCCCCCCGGTTTTCCGCCAGCAGCGGTAGAACACGCCCTTTCAAACATACACATATATATACTAGAACCACGCGCGCGCGCTTCGCGCGCGCTTAGGTTCTAGTGCGGCCCGGATCTCGACAACAATGCAAATTGAAAATATGCAGGCGTAACTATGCGGGTGCTCAGGCTTACTTCGGGGGCAAACAAACCTAATTACCTCGCTTTTGACCACCCTCGCTTCCAAGAGATACCAAGCGATGCCAAACTACGGCCTGTACTGGTCAGGCCGCTTGACGAGGAGGCGCGTGGTATGACTTGGCTTTGCCTGGAAGCGAAAGCGGGGTAGGTAATCCCACCAGCCCTTTGGGCGTGAGTGGTTTAGAGAGCTCTCTCTGTCCTCAACCCCCCAACCCCCGTTCTTCCCCTTCGGGGAGGGGTTTACCCCTCCCCCTACCCCCTCCCCCTGGGCCTGGACAGGGAGTCCCGAGTGTTCTCAGGGGGGTATTTTCCGACTCCTGGGAGGGCCAAAAAACGACGACCCTCACGAGGATTCTGGCCCCGACGGGGGGGCTCTGAAAAAACCCTCTCCTCTTCTGTGAAGCCAAAATCATTGATTTTACTACGGTTTCGGCCACATCTTGGCCTTCTGAAGGGGGCAGCGCTCCTCTTCCTTCTTCTCAAAATCATTGATGTTACGAAGGTTTCGGGCTCATTTTGTCCTTCGCAGGGGCTCGCGTTCATTTGCGCTTCTGCGGAGGTCGCAAGAGGCCCCCAAGACGCCCCAAGATGCCTCCCAGAGGCCCCCAAGAGGCGTCCAAGAGGCTCCCCAGAGGCCCCCAAGAGGCCCCCAAGAGGCCCCCAAGAGGCCCCAAGAAGAGGCCCCCAAGAGGCCCCACGAGGAGCCCGAACGACTCACACCAGGACGAGGGGCCCGAACGACTCACACCACGAAGAGCCCGAACGACTCACACCACAAGGAGGGGCCCGAACGACTCATACCAGGACGAGGCGCCCGACCGACTCACACCACGAGGACCCCGAACGACTCACACCACGACGCGGGCCTCGAACGACT